TAGTTCTGTCCTTTATTTCCTTTTACTTTCCTCAAGGGTAATATCGATAAATTTTTTTGATGAGTACAAGCCACAAAACTTACTATGAGGCAGTTTGAAGAAAATTGAAGACTGTGTTGGTCATTGGTGAGAAAAAGGCCAGCACAGAAATATGATTTTTTTTGTTTTATATCACAGCATTGTACCTCCTCTCTCTTTGAAGGTATCAGGGCTGTCCTATGAGGATGCCATTGGGAAACTTGACCTCATGTACCTTACAGCCCTGCTTTTGCTGCTTCACACTTCCCTTTTGTTCCTCAAACCAAACCTAAACAAAACCATTGAAAAGGAATATAAATGGAGGCCCCGGAGCATGGCAGACTGCGGTTTCGACATGGTGTGATGCTCTTGGGAAGGGTGAGGGGGATGGAAGCAGTGCCTGCACAAGGATACAGACCTAGATGAACATGAAGAGAAACCACAGCTTCACATGCTGATATTTTTACTTAATGAAGGTTTCTAAGATTTTGTAGCAATGCTTTTTTTACTTACCCCTGTGAGTCAGAACTGACTTGACGGCAGTGACAGTTTTATGCTAATACAGGTTTAAATGAAGTTGCTGTTTTGTCTTCATCGTAACTGCCCCTTAGAGTAAGCACTCACTTGTCAACAGCAAGCTTATGGGTGGCTAAGTTGAATGATGCTGCTCAAAACTCCTTACATCTGTATTAAAGCAAGTTTTGATTAGACAAGGCCCCTTGTATTGAATATGTGTGCATGGAGGAGGTGCAGTGGGATGTTACTGAAAGTTACAAAACGAGAATTCCCTTCCTGTGTGAGAGAACAAGAGCAATTGAACATTGAGAAAACATCCCAGCCCAGTCCAGATCAAGTCCTTAAGCCCGGCATTACCCCAGATCAAGTCCTTAAGTCCGGTATTAGACCATATGTCTGATACCAATCTATAAAGTCCTCCTCAGACTCACGCAACACATGCAATGATGCTGGATGCAGCAGATCTCAGGCTAGTGGGTGGAAAGTCTTGTGGGTCCAGTGTCAGTATAAGGATCTAAGCACTGGCATTGGTCTCCACGTGGCTCCTTCAACTCTAGGGCTCTAGCGTAGCTCCATGTGTCTTGTCATCAGGAATATGAAGCAGAGAGTGAGTGTCACACCTCCAGGGAGGAAGATAGGAGTTCCCAGAATCCTCAGGAGAAGGCCATGGCCACACAGAGGCCTCATTTATGACCTGATTGACAGGCTAGACTCCACCCCTTTGCAAGTTGACAGGAGATTATGTAACTGCCACACTTCCTAAGGAATTGGCTCTCTTTAATAACTAAAGGAATGGGACTTGTGTTCCCATCTATAATTTATACTCTTCTAGAGTGAACCTTCTTACATGTCTGGTCTGTGTGATTATATATGTGCATAAATGAATACGTGTATATGTGTATGGTTATATATAAACATATCTACAATATACATATGTGGGTATAAATCTATACTCTCTATATAAGTATGTAGGTGTGTGTGTCTGATAAAAGGTAGCTACTTAATAAGTATATGTTGAATGAATGAATGGATACGTGCTAAGTGTATTTTGGTGACTGGCTAACACATTCACAGATATGCTACTGTTGTTAAGTGCCGCTGCGTTGGTTCCAATTTATAGTGACCCTGTGTGCAGCCAAAGGAAATCCTGTCTGGGCTTGTGTCATCTCCACAGTCATCATTGTTTGAACACATCGTCTTAGCCACTGTGTCAGTCTATCTTGTAGAGGGTCT